TGCTGAGCGCCATGTCGCCAGCTTGACCACAGGCCCAATCCCCAAAGGGCTAGACATGTGCAGTTAAATTTATGTTCAAATGGGACAAACGTAGGTACAACAATTACACTATACTACTTCAATGGCACTACAAAGCAATATCCCTCACAGAGAATCCATCCACCCCAAGGCCATCCTCCTTCTCTACCACAAAGGAATGATATCCGGTATAATACCCATATCCCTCGACACAGACTCGAATACTCCGCTTGTCTCCTCCACTTGTGCCAGCATCATCAAAGACAGACCCAACAAATCCAGAGAGACCTCTATATGCACGAGTCACCAGGGAGTTATAGATCCTCTTCTCACCCCCAGGCAAAGTCCCTTTGGCATGTGCGAGAGCCACCCTCGCAGCGACACAACTTCCAGTGGGAGACCGATCGATCTGCTGGTTTGCAAAGAAACAGAGCCCCGTCTCCTCGCTACTAGCATCTACCTGCGCACGAGCAGCTGCCGTCCCCTCCGAGGCACTGACATGTCCCAGTCGCGTATCCGTGATCATAATCCCATACAAGAAACCCTCCTCGGCAGTTCGCATATCCCGGGTGAGATATTGCAAATCCGGATTTGTAACCACAGCGTCCTTGAGCAACTTCGTCGCATGGTCCATATCCTGCAACTTAACCTCACCAAGACCACTAGCGAAGCCCAATTCCTCAGCACTAACCATACAATAGTACGCACCCCCATAAGCAAAGTCCGCCGTTACAGCAGTCTTTCCATGCAGCTCAGCCCAGCGATACTTCTCAGGAATAGGAACCTGCAAGGAGATAGCCGTAGCAAACGACGGCACAGATACGAACGAAACAGGTCGCGACGCATCCGACCTCCCAGACCCTAAGGTGGGGACAGTAACCTCGACCACCCCGCAGGGCACATGCAGATTAAGAGTCGTCGTCCGGGACAGGGGGTCATATCTCAATTCCTTCCGACGAGGAAATACCTCCTCATCGACATCAACAAGAAACCGGCCCAGCGCAAGAGTCGCATGTCCGCACATAGTCGAGAACCCTTCGTTGTGCATGAACAAAACGCCTATATGGGCTTCTCCGGAGCTGACGAGCTCGGTCTGCGGGCGTAGAATCGCGCCGTACATATCATAATGGCCGCGTGGTTCGAGCATGAGAATGCGACGGAATTCGTCGAATTGGGACTTTGCTTGTGCTCGCTGTTCCAGGAGTGTACCTGTTAGAGGTGGGATACCGTCCCAGATGATTCGCGTTGGCTCGCCTGCTGTATGCATTTCCACGCAGGTTATCGGCCTGATGGGGCCTGGGGCTTCGAAGGGTTGTGGGATTTCCATGGTGTTGGGGTAAGTTGTTGGAATGGGGAAGGATCTGATTGTTGGTAAAAAGGAAAGATTTTCTCCAGTCCATGCGGACTGGCAATGGTTTTTACGAAGAATCCCTTGATGTCGGAATGTGGCCCCGGGACTTCTAGATACCGCTTATCCTTTGCTTGAACAGGCAGGTGGGCGCTTGTCAAGTCAAGGGCGTGGGCACCAATCCTTCTTAGATTAGGTATGTATTTCCCTTCCAAGGTTTGTATGAGCTTAATACACATGTAGAATTACATGTCTCCAATGCATTTATATACGTACGTAGTCTTCTGTTTGTCTCTTGGAAAGTTGGATGGTGGAGCAAGGTTCTATCTAGATTCACTTTCACATGTACCGGATATAATGCCTGGCACTCGAGACCTTTCCTTTTCCGTTTTAGCGCTCACATCTTGAAGGTCACATTTATGTTGTATGTATAAAATGATTTACACTATGTGCATAAAATCCGGGCCCCATTCAATAAGGGAATATGTCAAGAACAGGAGTTTTACTTCGGCTACATGGTGACGATACTTTCAACTGCCTGCTAGAACTGGTCTTCAAAAACAGCATATCCATGGATATGCCGTTGAGCTTGGTTAGGTAATAGTACACAGTAAAGGGGGTATTGGTGGCACCAGTAAAGAAAAACAACAAACACAGGCAGAGTAACTTCAAGGCATAGGGTATAAGTGATACAGAGAAAGACCCCTGGCCAGAACCTGATCATGAAGTTGCCGTAGGGGACGTCCATCTTCGTGAAGCCCGGGGGCTTCTCGAACACCACACGTTTCCTCAGTCCAATCGTGTTACCGCCGTTGTTCCTCAATAACAAACCTTTTTCCTGGCACAAGACTGGGACTGGTGATCCTATGCGCGAGCTCCTTATTTGGGATTTCTCCGTGACGAAACGAGTGGGGCCGCCTGTGTAGTAAGGCTCGACCTTACACTTCACGGGCCTTCCGTCTCCATCAGGGATCACCACCTCAGTTCCAGCCAGGCGGTGCGCCGACTCGAGGGAGTGCAACTATACCAGCCAAATCTCCTTCCGACACTCCACGCGGAGTGGGCCCATTGGATCAGCGGGGGTCAGGCTCAGCAGAGCCGCTTGGGCAGCCTTTGCGGTCGCGAGGAACGAGTCACTGCTGGTCTTGGGTGGCATCTTAAGAATGACCCACCGTCCGTCTGCGTATTGGGAGGGGATTTCATCGCCCCCCCCTTTCTCTGCCTGCTTAGCCCGCTTCATCTTGTGTACCTTGGCCGTTGCTGTCGATCCGGATCTTGACGGTGCCGTCGAGGGGACGCTGCTAGTCGGGGTTGCTCGGGATGGCCATCTGGGCGGCTCAAGGCCCGAGGTCTCCATTTTTTCCGACGAGCCCTTCAGTGACTGCTTCAGGCGTTTCTTCTCCTTTTTCGATCATTTGGGAATTTCTTCTGAGCTCGCAGTTTCCTTTTCCGTAGACTTTCTCTATAGGCCTGCTTCGACTCGCCGGAGGCTTGACATTAGAACCGCCAGTGCATTTCCCCGCAGTTCGAGCATCGGGGGGGGGGGGGGGGGGGGGGGGGGGGGG